AGAAAGTTTTATCTAATTCCTCATACGAAGCTTAGCTTAAGTTACAGAAGTACGGACAGCTTTTCTTGTTTTCTGATTAATAGGACTCGAACCCTGGACCTCTCGAATACGCGTCGAATTTGTTACCGCCTTTTGTCTACCATCTTTTTTAGTTCGGGATCCATTATAAAATCATAGATTTATTTTGCAGCAGCAGAGGTAAAAAATATGCAATTCCCTTGCAGGAATTCGAACCTAGAACTCTCGAATACGCGCCGAGTGTGCTACCGGTACACCAGAAGGCATGCTGGAACAAAGGAGAATATACCTTATAAGGTATTTCTCCCGCCTTCCTAGCGTGCCTTCGGGGTGTAGTGGTTCTGCACGCTGGGCTGGTATTCCAGAAGTCCGTGGTTCGATTCCTGGCGAAGGCGTTGCTAATTTTTTATCTTGCCTGCTTCTCAAAGAAATCCTAATGTCTCTACAGTGGCGCCCGAACTAAAAGGGTGTTGGATGAGGTTTTCTCCACACCAGGAATTGGCGATTGGGTCCCCTAAAAACCCCAGTCGCCCTTTAAAGGGGGAGTATATAAGGTATTTCTCCAGCCTTCCTAGCGTGCCTACGTGGTGTAGTGGTTCTGCACGCTGGGCCGGTATTCCAGAGATCCGTGGTTCGATTCCCGGCGAAGGCGATTGTTAATTTTTCATTTCTCCGGCTTTCAAAAGTTATAATGTCTCTACAACCTTATGAGCTAAATTAGATGTTCTAGAGAAAAGCTGAGCATAATGTACAGAGGAAGGTATTTTTGAGAAGTCTTTGAGCAAATACTGTTTCATCTGTACATTACGTAGTAGAAAAGCGATATAAACATACGTATATTCAGCCAGACATTCTTCCTGAAATCTCCGCCCTTTGTGAATGTAAGGTTCATTAGTCTCATTTACTTGTTCATTAGTGAACATTACATAATACTGGACGTTAGAGAATTTCATGCCCTGCTATTTTTTAATTAAAACTTTTAGTCAATTAAAAATATTTTCTGCTACTTATATTTTCTACTAACTGCATAAGAATAACGAACAAATTAAATGATATACAAAACGCAAAGTAAAACTAGAATTTCTTGTAATTAATATGTACTGACTGCTGTAAATGAGAGACACTTTCCCTTAGAAAGTTCTCCGCGAAGATTTTCTGCATTTGGTTCAAATGATATATACTTAACTAGTAATATATGCTTTAGACTGTGCTAGCAAGTAAACTAAGTAATATAGCAAACTTCCAATTATTTAGATCATTATTTCTTTTCAGGTTAAGTGAAACTAAACTTGATTTTAATTCGTGTGTATGTTTCTATTTTGTCCTTGATTTAGGTACCATGAGAAAGAAATACAATTTACTACTCACTTTTTCATGTGTATGATAAAATAATTTAAATCATGTGGCTTATAGTTTCGCAAATAAGTGACATGTAAATGGCAACAGAAAAATAATTGTAGTTGTTATGTAAATTTATTGTTCTCTATCTATTTTCTTCATAAATAATTGATTAAATATAAGAAGTTTCTTTCAATCGTTGAAAGTAGACTAAATCTATTGAATGATGTAACAGCAGCTCCTTCTTAATGCAAGACTTGGAATGGATTTACATGATTACATCAAAGCTAATTAGCGTTATAATAGAATGCCTTCGTGAAGGACTTTCTATAGTAAATTTCCTGTTATGAATATTGCACATCAGGAAAACCTAAAAGTGGCCATGCAGACAAGGTGTCGAATTTGAGTCGAAGTAACGATATTCAGTACACTTATCTGTTCTGTCACTGATAGGCCTTTCTCCACATTTCTTGGTTTGGTTTATTAAATTACGGCAAAGCCTCGAAGGTTGTCTGCCCAGGGAAGAGACTCATTCGTGGAGAAATTTCAAAAGGAAACTAACTCGTATACAGGTTACACATAGAGAAGATCAAGAAAACGCATATGCAGCCATCCCGTTTGCAAGATTTGAACTTTGGATTGTACTACCAGTGTTCAGCGACTTTACCGCTCTACCGCGGCTGAGCCTTTCTCCACATAAGTTACTGTTTTATAATATGCATCGTCGCTGCAATTCCTTTTCTATATTAATGTAGTGAGAATCTGATCAATGGCGTGTTTTTTCTTACTCATCAGAATAAAGTAATGCAGTCTACAGGAAAAGGCAATTTAACTGCCCGGATTTTTCCCACCAACTGGCTGGGCTGTAATCCCACTTAATTCGAATAACTCTTGTTCAACTGTGCATAAATTTTCACAGTATTAATGCCCAAGAAAGTAATTAAAGGCATATTTAGAATATGGTGTATTGTGTATTGAGAATACGGCAAAGCACACTAGGGCTATCTGCCTAAGGAAAGGGATGCCTTTCGTGGAGGGACTTTCTAAGGGAAACTGGCTCGTATACACATTACACATGGGGAAAACCACGAAAATGCCCATGCAGCCAGCCCGTCGCGGGATTCGAACCTCGGACCGAACTACCAGTGTTCAGCGATTTTACCGCTCGGCCGCTGGTGGCCCTATTTAGAATATGTAAGATAAAAAGAGATATTGCGAGCTGCTCTCTCATAGTGAGAATATTGTGTTAAAGCATCTACACCAGAAGTTTCCAACTAGGGCCGATAGTAACCCTTGAATGTCAGGAAAATTTTAAAGGGAATCAATGAGGATCAAGAGGTCGAATGAAGGTCAATAGCCGAATATGTATCGGGAACTGACTGCCATATTCACAATTACTCTGATTAAAAAATTCTTATTAAATCTGATAATTAATTGGTCATTGATATAAATCTAATTCTATAAGCTCAGGTCATATTCAAAACACATGGGTACACTAAGTTTCGGGATTTAAAAGTCATCCGAGAAAAATAGTTCAAAATAAAAGTTGTTACCGAAACAAGATTATTAACTCTTCCCTTTTTGTTACCTAATGGAAGTAGGCTTCACTCAAATTAATAATTTACTACGAAGGCAAAAGAAGTAGGATGAATATTTTTGAACGAGCTGATTTAAGAAGTTAAATAAAGTGATGTTATACCAAATATTAAAAAATTACGTCAATACATAAAGCGTATCTATGATGTTCGTTATAATTAAACTTTTATGCAATATTCTGTGATTCTGTTTCTGAAATGTGTTTATATTTGTAAAATTAAAAAGATTAATAATACAAAAGAAAATAAAAGATAACTATAATGAACCATTTTTTAAATTTTGTTCAAATTCTTAATCTAATTGTTATCTTTCAGTTACGTGTAATTACGTGTCTTATGATTATGTTATAGGTTGAATACTATAGAGAAAAATGTTTTAAAATGGGTTGTGCAAGAAAAAAGGTTGAGAATCTCTGATTTGCATAAATAATAACTTTATGCCTAAAACTGAACTGAAGGTATTTCTAAACCTCTGGATACATTCAAGCACCATCTTTTTCTTAACCTAGAAGGAGAAATGTGTTCGCGTTCAGTGAGAATAAATATAATACAAATATGAATAACTGTCATTGGAGCATTCTAGTTTGACATTTTACTTGATGCATCTTACTCTTCATATAGCAAAGATGGCTGGAATGTAATCACATAGTTATGATTGAATTATTTTATGAATAGGTCTAGAGTCATTAGGTTTTTTTTATGCAGGAGACATGAAAAATGAGCAATGCCCTCGCCGGGACTCAAACCTGAGCCTCTCGAATACGCGCCGAGTGTGGTACCGTTACACCACGAAGGCATGCAGAAAGGAGGAAGAAAATGCCTTATATGCTCTCCCTTTTAAAGGGCGACTGGGGATTAGCGGACCCAATTGCCAAAGCCTTGTGGTTGAGAATCATCATCCATTAACTTTTAGTTCGGGCGCTACTATAGACACATTAGGTTATTTTGAAGCAGTAGACATGGAAAATTAGCAATGCGACTCGAACGTGAACCTCTCGAATACGCTCCAAGTATGTTACCGTTACACCACAAAAGCATGTTGGAACGAGGAAGAAAACACTTTATATATTTATTCAAACTCAAAATACATCTCGGAAAAAAATTAAAATATTGAAATATCCTAAATCTAATTCTAAATTTCTTTAAATTAATACTTAATAGATAAAATGTACGAAAGAATCTAAAATATTTAACTTTGCTTATTTTCGTTTTTAACAGAAGTCAATTTATGTTATACGGCGACTAAAAAAAAATTTATAAATTTTAGTTTTAAAAGAAGCTTAGAATTTTTAGTAAATGTAACCATTCCTAAATGCAAGGTGCTTTTTTGCCAAAACAAAGCCACACATCTACATAGTATTATTAATAACAGAGAGAAATGTTTAATATTAATATTGGACATAATAATCCAAAATTTTTCTCACAATGTTATGACTTAATTCAGATTTAACAAAATTTCTCAAATTTATTGTCATTTAGATTCATAAAAATATATGCATTCACATTTTAACAAATTTTTTCCAAATTATATTTGATCCTGTAAAACTGAAAACTGCGGGGGGGGGAAGCAAAATTATGAATTAAATGCTTTATTTTCAAAACTTAAGTTTCAATCTTAAAACCTGAAGTTTTAATAGATCCAGAAATAAAAGTTCGAAAACGTAACTGACTTTAACATATTTCGCAATTTATCATCAAAATTTGTTCGCATGGAGAAAGAAATGCGAATTTTATTTCCTTTCTTTTGGAAATTTAAAAATACCACTTTTATCGAAACACTTTTATCTTACATTACAGAAAACTTCTTGCCATGTTTATATTACGGATTCAATAGAATATTTAATATGGTATCCGTCTACAGGTTTGAATCAAAACTGAAATCCCATTCAATCTCATTTTTGAAGAATGCCGTTATTTGGTGTCACTGATAATTTCTCACGATAAGATTACGGAATCGTGTGATTCATTCCACTCATCTCATTCTTACAGTTTAGTAAAATAAATTGATTTTCTTGGGAACGCTTTCCTGCCGCTTGATTCGTCACCTCTTTCAAGGACTTCAAAGCGAAAACTATGATTAACTCCGATTTAAAAAGTTCACCTACTTTTAACCAGCGTAATTTTCCCCATTCCATTACTTTCTCCTTCAGTCATCCGGTGCCGCCAAATAAAAGACTAACGGAGCTAAAAAAGAACATAACAAAGATTTATTTGTGATTTTATGGTCGAAAATTAAAATTCTTTTTAAATGTTTATGAATAAAGGAAGTCACACCTTTTCCATGGCCTTCTGACATCATTGGATCCAAAGTATATATAGGGGGTACCAGTCTGTGATCAAAGCAGATCAATATTCTCCCAACGAAACGATCTCATCTTCAGGTGGAACGGAGTTCAATCTAAAATTCATCAGGATCATGAAATTCACTCAGGTAGTATGCTTTATCTTAAATATTAAATAACAACAATTTTCACTGAACTGAATTTTTAAAAAAGATTTAAACTGAACTTAAAAAGGATCCAAATATTCTAAGCAAAATCATTGTTCTTAAAAATGCACATTTGCACGTCTATTTCAAGCACTTAAATATCTAAGTATTTTATGTAGGGAATTTTGATTTATGAGTTTGAGATTAAGAGAAAATATGCGCTGTGAGAGATTTGAGCTGAAAATCTTTCATAGAAATGAGACGCCAATAGATTTCCTTTTTATAAGTCTTTTTTTAGTCCTCTTTACAAATTCGGGTATTAACAACCAAAGATTTATTATTAATATGCGTAGTTTTCGAAATCAAACGTTTGAAATTTTGAAAATGTTTAAAGACACGCTTGACAAATTTTTGTATTTAACTTAGATTTTGCCTATATCCTGAGATTCTAAAATTAGCAAGTATTTTAAATTATAAATGATTTTGAAAAGTTAATGTTATTTGAAGTCACTTTCTGAAAAATAAAAAATATAATGTCATAAGTCAATAGCATCTAATTATATTATATTCAGCTTGCTTACAGGCCAAAGTAATGTAGCCTCAAAACTGATAGAAAAATATATTTTTCGTATAGGTAAATTTATAGTTACGGTTTTGTCCTGTTCTTCAAATCGATTATAACATGTGGTTTATGTTTTTAAATCGATAGCTTAAATAAAATTACCTTATATATAATTATTTTGCTTTAATTTAAATATAATTATGCTAAAAGATAAATTATTTTTATTCTGGGTTTTAAAAATTTAGATAAATAATGTTAAGTATCTAAGATGAAGCCAGGTTCAACCCATTCATACTTCAGCTTCGCAGTCTTCTGAATCTTATAATTAAGTATCTTATAGCGCACGTTCTTTGAAACATATTGATACTTAGTGTTGGTATTTGTAAATCATTCTTTTCAGCTCTAATTACACCTACTGATGTCTGATTGAGAAAATTAAACACCAAATCCTCATCTTGGCCTCAATATTCGGTACGGGAAAGAGGTGATTTGATTTCAATTTCATGAATTTTTCCGATTTTAATGTGTTTAAGAATTTTCTTGATTATGGTAAAGCAAGTTCGAACTGTCTGCTCAAAGAAAGTGCTATCTTCATGGAGTACTTTATAAGGAAGACTGACCTGTATTTACGTTATACATGGGGAAAACCACGAAAACATCCATGCAGGGAACCCATTTGCTGGGATTGAAAACCGATTCGGTCGTCATCCACTCGGCTAATTGCAACTTGTATGACGTGCGCATAGATATATAAATAAATAAATGAAGAAACATCTTAAGCTTTCAGAATTTATAATTACGTCCAAAGGGGAGTTGTTTTAACGTTTTTTTTTTTTTTTTTTTTTTTTTTTTTTTTTTTTGTGCTACCTTTATTTATTACGTATCATGTTCTTCGCACTTAAACCATAATATCCAATTCAACAGCAATATCACAAAATAAGTTAAAAAGAGCATATCTTTTGAATTTCCGATACACAATCTCACGCGCTGGAGATAAAAATGCTTTTAATGTTTTCTTCTCGTACATTGGTGCCATCACTCGCTTTAAAATCATTGAGTTTGTTAGTCAAAAATTCGTTAAAGGTTTACAAAATATAAAAAAGGTAATAAAACAAATTAAAACAAATTCCAAATTTTGGCTTCCAGATGTCCATATTCGAATGGAGGACTACCTTATTCAAAATTTGATGTCACTAGGTACAGTTTTCTTTTCATGCAGATTCTTCATTATTTAATTTCTTTAAATATAATGCAGGACTCAAATATTTGGTGGCTACAATTTGAAAAGTGAAACGCCGTTTATAGTGAACCAAAGCAAAATGCCAAAACGAAATTATTAGCCCTTCTGGGCAAACTGCCCCTTTGAGCTAAAAATTAATCTATTGGCGTAGACCAGGGCTTCTTAAACCTTTTTCAATCGCAACCCCTTTTTATCACTGAGATTTTTTTGCAAGCGCAGGACCCCATAATATTTACGAAAATTTTGTGGGACCCCTTAAGCATTGCGCAAATCCGACACACGCGTGATCATTTTTTTTCCCCTTGTATACTGTAATGTACTTGTATACTGTAATTAACTTTAATTTCTAACTTTAAGACATAGAATAATGTGAAAATTTTAAATAAGTAACAGACGAAGTGACAGCGTCACGTGCAAAGCAAGGAAAATGAACGGTTGTATTATAAAAACAATGCGTTGAAACATTTTTTTTTTTTTCCTTTATATTGTCTTATCTTTAACGATTTTCAGATACATTATGTAAAAGCATTTGGTAATTGTAAAATTATTATAATATGTTAAGGAATTATCAAAACTGCTAAAATTTTTGGCGACCCACAGTTTAAGAAACTGGCGTAGACAAAGGGAGTCAGTTATCAAAAAGGTCATAGCTTGCTTGGAATATAAAATAAATGTACACATTCATTTAAGAAAGGGGGAAAATTCAAGTATCAAAATTTTAGATGTATGTGATGAAGAAATACGTCACGTCCAAGTTTATTTTATTAAAATATAAACAAGAAAAAAAAATGTGCCTTATTACAGTAACCCCATATTGTTAGACATATGTTCATGGTGGCTACTGTCTTTGACATTAGAGAAGAGCAAAATCTTTTATCGCTTTTCAGTGTCTCTGTCCTTGAGTGGTTTACAAATCTTACACTCAAACTATCACATCGTTTTTATCATTTTTACACTGAACATGAACTTCTTTACATCCCTGCCTATAACGCAGTATTTCGCTCTGTACGAATTGTTTCGGAGGTAAAAATTTGCACTCTCTCTGCATTTTTTTTTTTATCAAAACGGCGTGAGTTTTTCTTTGAAGTGAGGTAGACTTTATATTTGCTAGATCAAAAGAATTGTCTGCTGATTTTGAATATAAACTGAAAAAGGATAAGAATATTATGGTGAAAAAAAGGCTACTGAATAAACTTTAAAACTCACTATGAAATTACTGCTGTAAAGGAAGTTTCTTTTACCAACGTTTTTCCTAAATGCGCGTCATATTTCGACATTATTTTACCTATTTTCATCAAATGTATTTAACGTTAAATATACTCAATTAGAGCACACTTAGGTTAAATAGACTTTCAGTTTTAAGAATTTGGGTTACAAATTTTTCGAATTGAAAAAATAAAGGTATATCCTAAAATTTTAATTTATAAACTCTTTTTTAATGTAGTAGTTGAAAAAATAATTCATAGAAATAAATCAAATTATAAAAATAACGAAAGATTTACGCTGTTATTTAAATTACTCTGCATTTACGCTTCATGTTATTTAGGCTTCTTTGCTAACGAATTTCTTTGTCAATATTGGAATTACATGATTTCTCTGTAGATGAACCCAGAGTTAAGGAGTGCAGATTTAATGATATTCTCGATCGAATGCTTGTTTTTATAAACAGTGTTCGAAATCTGCAGAGCTAGGCCACAGAGTATTATCCTTAATTTAGATCTCCTTGATTTTCTTTTTATAAGATAACATTTCATAAGGAATTCATAATTCATAAAGTCCTTAAATTATGATAAAATATGCACTATTTTTTCTTAGGACCCATCAGTGGCTGAGCGAATGAGATTGCTAACACTGGTCATGCATCCCGCGATCGAATTCCGACAATTAGGCTGAATGAATATGCGTTTTCTTGCTTTTCTCTATATTTAGCGGAAACATAAGCCTATTTCCGTCAGAAAGTCCTCCACGAAGGTATCTATCCCGTTAAGCGAATAATTTTCATATATTTTTGTCATAACAGATTAACTGGCCAACTATACTTTTTCTTCGGAAAAATTCCATTCTTTTTCTTCTAAAGTCAAAGAACAGAAAAAAAAGAAAATCATTCTTTTCCAATTACTGTCATAATTACTAATTGCAATACCAGTACACAAGTATACCGAATAGCGATATTTTTTGCTACTTTGAAATTTCGTGAAACTGATATTTGTTAATGTAAAATACTGGTGTTTTCGGTATTAGCTATTGTAAGGACTATGTTAATTTAACAGTTAAATCTTAACTATTAAATCAACTAATCTTCGGTATTAGCTATTGTAAGGATTATGTTAATTTAACAGTTAAATTTTGAGTTAAACTTCATTTCCCATCGCTTCTTAATTTCAACTTACAACTCCCGGCCAGAACGTAGTTTCAAAATCACGTTTGAATGCAAATTGAGGAAAAACGGTATTTAGCCGCGAAGTCCTACTGTCTTAGTCAGAAAGAACCAGAGATACTCGCTAGCACGCGCCCGCCTTTTTAGGTTACTCCCTCTTAATCTATTATTACTCTCGGCCGTACTTTAGGCCCTTAATGGCTTCGCAGTCAATTAAAGTTAAGGGGCAAACTCCGTTAGAATCTTGATAGCTTCGGCTATATCTTTTTAGTTAAGATTATTTAAGTTTTATTTCTTAGTTTCCTAAGTTCAAGTCCGAGTGTCGACTTTATTGTAAAACTCCAAGACGGAATTCTGTTAAGGCTTATTTGAATAATAAAGGATCTTTTAACCCTTTCCAAGTTTTAATTACTGTCTCACGAACTCAAGCGATTTTTAGCTTACTAGTTCTTAAGATTCTTCACATTCAGCTGTAACTTAAATAACTAGTGAACACAGTAGAGAATCTTACACTATAAATAATAAATATTTTTTATTAAAGGGTTTAATTTAGCTTAGTGAGCATCTACTGTTATTAGAAATATTTTTCTTGATGTGGCAGTACCAACATCAATCATTCGCCCTCTCATTTCCGTTCCAATCTCCACAGAAATATTTGATTCTGATTTGGAAGAAAGCGACAATGAAGAAACTAATAATACAGTTGTTCAAAGTACCTTACTTGGATATGAAGAAGATAATAGTAAAGAACACTATTATTAGTATTAACTTACTAAATATTGGTTTCTAAAATTTAGAAAATTCTAAAAGTTGTTAAGATATTTAAACGTTCCTCTATTAAAATTGCCGTTTTGCAGAAATATATGCTTACTAAAATGGAAAAAGAACTTATGCTAGATTCTAATACATTCTGGAACAGCTGTAGAGTCGTTAGGATTTTTGGAAGCATTAGTACATGAAAAAATTAGCCGTGACTTTGCCGGGACTCGAACCTGGACCTCTCGAAAGTGTGCTGCAGTTACACCACGAAAGCATGTTGGCAAGAGGGGAATATACCTTATATACTAACCCTTATGAAAGATAAATAGGGAGTATAGCCAATCGCTAAATCCTGGTAGTGAAGAATCGTCATCCATTATCTTTTAGTTCGGGAGCCACTGTAGAGTCATTAGGATTTTTGAAGTAGGAGGTGTAGAAAATGGGCAATCCTCGCTCAAACCTGGACCTCTCGAAGTGTGCGATCGTTAAACCACGAAGGCCTGCTGGAAATTATAGTAATGGGTTATGTTTTTGTTTCTAATTTATCAATAATTATTTTATTTCTCTTGTTAATAATAGTTAACAATAACAATTCCCTTTCATTTTATATTTGTATATAACAAACTTCTTTATATTTTAAAAGTTTATGTAATTTTTGCATTACACAAATAAACATGGTAAAGAAACAACTATGCGTTTGCACCTTTTTTAAAAAATTCCTTATACCGGTATTGAGGTACAACGTTTAAAAAAATACAGAATATCGGTAATGTATTTTTGGTCCGTTGATCACTATTTACAATACTTATTAAGATTGCTACCTTTAAAACGAAAAAATGTTATCCTTACGATAACATTATATTAGTCTTATATCTAACAACTAAGTATGGAGGAACTTTGTGAACAGCTAAGCGTATAATCGCTTAAGTTCAGTAACAGAAACGTAAAACTTACGAAGGGTTAATTACCCTTTATTCTCGAGATAAGAATGAACTGTTGGCCGCTTTCTCAGGGCGTACAGCAAAGTCTTCACTTGATTTTAAAAGTGTAAAAATAAGAACTAAACTAATGCTTAACTAAAGAGATGTAGCCGAAGCTACCACAAATCTAACTAGTTGGTCCCTAGTATCGAAGTAGTTGGCGAAGCTATCAAGAGTCTGTAATAGGGCCGAACGTAGTAACAGCTTAGATAGACGTGGCCAAAAGGCAAACGTGAGCTAGTCAGAACCTCTGACGCTCTCTCTCGAAGTCAATGGAACTTCGACTTTAATACTACTTTCACTCATTCGCATCAAACGCGATTCTAAAACCTCATTCTGGTAGGAAAATGCAAGCTGAAATTAATATAGATAGGAAAGGAGGTTAAAAATAACTGTTAAAAACTTAGGATAATCCTTTCAAGCCATTTGCAGCCGCTAGATCTCACTATAATTAGATCTTAAACAAACCACTTTTTAATTGCAACACGTTACATTAACAGTCTAATCGTCTATGAATGGTGCAAGCAAATTAAAATAAATGTTCTAGAAGCTATGAATCTTGTTCCCAAAACCTCGGAATCTGTTAACTGATCGAAAGCAATATTTTCCCAAAAGCGGTTCTTTGCTTCAAGACCACGAACGAGAAAATAAAGGACGAACTGGCTGCTGCCGTGTTATCTAATTGGTAGGATGTTGCTCAAAACCTCGAAATTTAAAAATTTATTAAATGCCATTTAGAATTTGAAGCTAGCTTTATATTTGAATCTCCTTGCAAATGTTACGTCCAACAACTGTACGAAAATACCCCTGTATTATTAAGACACTTACAGGAGAAGAGCTATCCACAAGCAGAAAACAGATTATCTTCCACCGAGTTGGCAATAAGTAGTGCAACCATAACTTCTCCGAAGGGCCAAAAAATTAATCGAATTGGAAAGTGGAATTTAACAAATATTTTCTGCTTAAACTAAGTCACTTCTATAGCGATTCTACGTTTCTACAGCAAGTCAAATGATTCCAAAAATAGTAAACATTCTTAGTAACCATCAAATGGCTCAGCAATGTGTAAAAAAAAAGGAAAAGTTGTTGAAGCTCTTTGGAGTGGGCAAGACTGCTATTGACGCATTTACCATAGTTGGCACTGCTTTAAAATAGGAAAAGAAGCACAAAAATATTATAAAAATATATTACAGACTCTCTATGTAATATTTTATCGTGTGTGAGGTTATAATGCCAACATCTAGATAAGGTAAGTATAAATAAATTAATTTCAGATGTTTGAGACGGTTATTATGTTTCGAATTGAATTAAGACCGAAATTAGTTTAATGATAAAGCCCTGATTTAAAGACAATTTTGCTAATCCCTCGATAACCGTTAAATTGAGGTTTTGCTGTAATTTAGGCTTATTTTGAATATTAATCATGCAGAAACACTGTTTCAAATAACACCATGGCTCTGTATGTTACAATATCATTATCATCTAAAATACATACACACACATATTATTCTGTACATTTGCCTAACCAGGCTAGTCTGTATAGTTTTTTCTTACACCATTAATGTGTTTCTCATTTACTTTTAACCTGCGGACGCGTCGGGAAATGAAGCAGAGAAATTGAAACCTAAGTTTTAATGGGTTATTTTGTCTGTTTAATAGTCAAAAAGTTATTTCGTGTTCAGTTTCAATTCTTCTGTTTTGACGAAACGCGATACGGAATTAGCTGGATTCGAAGCTCATTGTGCATTTCTCCTGAAGAGTCCATAATGAGATTCGAATTAGGCTAATTTACCATTTACCGCTTCTTTGCAATTTTGCTTTTGTCTTAAATAACTTTTGTATTTATGTTAAAATGTTTTAGGATTGTTTAAACTTTAATCAACATTTTTTAACATTCAAATTTGATTTGAGTTTTACATTCACTTTTTATTTGTCAGTTTTCTTGTTATAATTTCATTTTTCTTGTATTTAAACTTTTAGTAATTGCAATTTATTTTAACTTAGTGTTAAAAATTATTCACGGGAACTGCAGTTTCACTTTTGCTTTAAAGCAATAGCATGAAGAATTCCCTTGTTACCTTATATGTATATATATATGGATATATATATATAGAGAGAGAGAGAGAGGAGAGAGAAATATAGATAGATAGATAGATATAGATATAGATAGATAGATATAGATATAGATATTTCCTACCATTTAAACTATTCTTACTTTTCAGTTCGCAGTTGCAATCATCACATTGCTCGGATATGTTAGGGCATCTGGATATGGTATAGGAGGAGGATTCGGCGGAGGAATGGGAGGAGGATATGGCGGAGCAATGGGAGGTGGATATGGAGGTGGAGCGGGAGGAAATGGTGGAATGGTGAGTATCTTAGTTTTAACGAGTAACTGAAAAACAATTTATTAAAAGCCCATGAGGAGAATATAGTTGTTAGGCAGAATGACAAAATTCAGTATAATGTATTTTAAATCTGAATGTTTATTAAACTTAAAATTATCTATATAAATTAACTAAAAAGTTAGATAAATAAAATGTATCGATATTAATTTACATTAATTTAAGATTGTAATTCAGGATATATATTTAAAATCTGTTGTTTAGAAATTCCGCAAAGAGCAAAATCTGAATCAGAGTAAAGCTGAAGAAGCATAATTAAGCAAATCACTTCAAATGTTTCAAGAGCATTTATTTAGATTTGAGACGGACAGAAGCTCAAGCAAGTGCAAAAAATAAATGACAGAAAAGTATTTTATTCTTCGAACATAAGTTCAATTCTTAATTGAATTATTCTAGTTTCGGTAAGTGGCTTATCAGTATAAAAAAGGGCTTTGCATTTATTGGTTGATTTGAATCCAGGCAGAACATGTAGAAGCTTTATACCAACTTTGCAGAAATATATTAGTGTATCAATTCCATAAAAATAGGAAAAAATATCAATTTGTTTATTAAACTAATATTTACTTTACTAATCATTGCAATGTGTTAAAAACTTTAATACATTACAACTTTAGGAAAATTTCTTAAAGATCTCTGAAAACAATTTTTTAATGATAAATTTTCTTATTTTTGTCTTTCAGTTTGCGCCTAAACCTTTTAACTTTGGCTACAATGCTAGAGATGAACAAGGTAATAACCATTACAGAAGCGAGAAAGGTGATTCCAGTGGGAACGTACGTGGTTCATATGGGTACACCGATCAGCAGGGATTATACCGTGTTGTTGAATATGTAGCCGGTCCACAAGGATTTCAAGCTGATGTCAAAACCAATGAACCAGGAACAGACAATAAAAGCCCAGCAGATGTTAATATGTCTGCTCAACAACCACCAGCTGGTGTTCAAGAAAAATACACACGTAGAGGAGGATCTGGAGGTTTTGGTGAGTACATTTAAGAGAATGTGATATTTACTGAAGACCAAAACTTAGGGTTTCTAAAGTGCATGTCTTTTAGCTTTGAACCCTCTGTTTATTACTTACAAAGATGTAGCATTTTTACGAAACAAAAATATCGAATATTTGATAAAAAGTTAATTTCTTGAATGAAGATTATTAATAAATATAGCTCTCTGCATAAAAGTAAAAGTCATTCGATAATGTTAACAATTTCAAAAATACAGTTCAGTTTTCTAATTCATCGTTCCCAAATTTTTTTCAGGCAAGGACTACTTACATAAATTAGAATGCTTCTGCGGACCACCTTGCTTCCTTTGAAAGCAGTTTTTTAGCATATTTTGCTACCAGTGTACTTTGTTTGAAAACAGAATTAATTAAAATTCCTTTACTTAATTTTATACTGGTATTAAGTTAATCGAAGAACATTTATATTTGCTTTCAATAATTCAAAGCTATTAGAGTTTATATAATGTTTATCTTACTAATTAAAAATTAAATAAATGTTGACGGTTGCATTTATGAGATAGAGCAGCCAGCTGCTCTATGTTTTAATACATGCTGGTGAGAAACAGCATAGTCATAAAGCTTCAAATCCTTCCTTTTGCTGCTAAGCCTAGAGTGGGAAGTTCGTAGATAGGATAATTGATAGTAAATTTCATATAATGTTAGTCTTGGGGAAAAACGCTGTTTACATGAGTAGTTTCTAAACATTCAGATTTTCAGCTACAGTGTAGTACATACACTTGATCTGAATTTTATTTTTTATCTTTTATGGAAGTCTAGAAGGGGCGGAAGGACTGGCTTCGAGAAATACTTCGAATAACAGTTAGAACACCACTGCTTTAACCAAACTACTTTAATTGAATTAATAGCAAACTGGAACTGAAAGAAATTTTCTTCATAGGCAATTCCCTCAAAGTAAATGAATTGAAACTGAATCCACAAAATGAATTCTAGGAATGAACAACTTTTCCTGTAAGTAGTGCGCGCATATTTGAGTTTAAGGGTACTTAAATTTTCAGTATACTAAGAAAACTGCAAGACGTCAACATGCAAAGCATTCATTGTTTACTAAATAATATGCCTCGACGAAATTCATTGGGGCAAGGAGTGCAAAACTGCGCCAGCCTTGAGCACCATACTGGTGACCGGACGACTTTTCTCAGTTCCACCCCCAATATTACTGGAAAGCACCCCGGGGGTATAGATCCAACAACAATATATAACCTCTGTCCTAAAAGTTATAAAAAATCTACTGTGAATGCGATTTTAAAGAAATTAATTTTGTGATTAAATGTACCGTTATTGAAAAATATATATGAATGACGTGCATTTCTTTCTTTACAGGTGGTTATGGCGGCGGATATGGTGGAATGGGAGGTGGATATGGCGGATCTGGAGGAATGGGAGGTGGATATGGCGGATACGGCGGAGGAATGATGGGAAAAAGCCTCGGAGGCGGAATGGGCGGTGGATATGGAGGCTCATTTAGTGGTGGAGCTGGAGGCATAGGAGGCGGAGGCTTATTTGCTGGAATCGGGATGGGTGGCAAGAAAAGCGGTTATTAGAAGCCTAAAACGAATCTATTCTTTTTGAATTCTCAACCTACCGAAAATAATGTATTCCATTTGCTTAAGGTTTCTTGTCCAAAATTTAGTGTATGCGCGAATATTTTTTCCCTCTGAATTTAAAGCTCTATAAAAAGAAGCCTTCCTAAGGGCAAAAAATTAGGCAACTCTCAAACGCAAATTTGTACAAAAATGAAGCAATTGGGAAGTATTTTAGTTATACAGCATACTAAAACTCATTCATTCAGCTTAATAAAATGCTTGCAAAAGTGCAGTCTTTTATATAAAAATTAAAACTTCGGACTGGAATGTTTAAAGCTATAAATACTCGTAAATAAGAAAGGGTAATTGCGGATGCTAAAAATAAATTGTTAATTACCTACAAAAGTATAAAATTTTGAATGTGAAGGCTAATTCAGATTCCTACCTTTAAAAAGTATCTAAAGCGAAATTCAAAGTACTTAATTTTCTTCCCATGAAATATATCAGGCTACTCTTGCTTCTATTATTCTTCCTTTGCTGTACCTATAATTGCTTTTCACTATAAATGCAGTAGCTTGCTGGTTTATTTTTGTGCCAAAAAAAAAAAAAAAATAAATAAATAAAAAGGTGACTCATTAGTTGTTATTTGCTTAAAAATTTATTACAACATTGCTACGCTAGATGGCGCCACGTCCAAGCGCATTAGTTATTCACTTTGCCACACTAAATGTGATATTTAAGCAATTATTTATTAGAATTGCCAATTCTTTTGTTGGAAGTCTTATGTTTTGAGGTTCATATATATACATGGGTTAGTGCAATTTCATGTGTTTCCTTTCAGGGTATCATTGTTTTATATACTTCATCTTCTGTAGTAGTGCTTGAAATATGTGATCAATAAATTGATTAAAAAACTTAATTGATCTCATCCTTTTTAATTAAAGCGTTGAAGTATTTTCGGCTAAAATATTATTCATGTGTGCAAAAAATGCAACACGAAATTTCACTTAATACTAATTAATAAGTAAGCAATTTGATAATACTATGCATTAAAGATTCTTAATTTCACGTTACATTTAATAAATCATCCAGAAAATCTTAAATTTGATTCTGCTTATTGATTTTGAAAGCTAATAATATCAAAACTCATTATTTTTGCAAGATTACTATCAAGCTAACACAAAATTTTAAAAAAATGCAAAACTCAAAATTTGGAATTACTTAACATCATACTATCCTTAGCATTAACAGCGCACAATACGCAAACATTAATGTTGATAAAACTCGCGAATCATTCTTTATGGTTGGAAAAAAATAGACACCGCCATTAATAAAACACGTTAGGTAATGTTCCATGGATTTATTTATTAAATGCTATTATTATCAATATCATTTGCATTAAATTTCTTGTCATGAACTTGAGTCATTGTTAAAATATGAGTTCGGAAATATTAGGTAGTCAATATGCTATGAAAAATTCTACATACTGGAAGTTTTTATGAAGGAAGATTAATCACATGCACTCACAAACTGCCAAATAAGTACCGCGACAAACTTCAGCTTAGACACACTTTTTATTTTTAAAGTATAAACCTTTACAAAAACGTTTTATAGAATTCTGCAAAAAAAATCGAATATTAAACTTTAGAGTCCTTTAAAATTATGGTCCAATTTTACATAAACTATCTCAGAGACATTCTAAAGAATTCTATAATTTTTTTAATTTAACTTTTATTGAATAGTGTAGATTTTGCGGAGATTTGTTTAAATTCTATAGCGATTCTATAGAAATTCTACAGTTTCGCAAGATCTGACGTACTCATGCAATGCGTACAAAATTAATTAAAAAATGAATTATGCTAAAAATATGACATTCACTTTCTATGAAGTTGTGTCATAATTTTAAGGAATTCTAAACAAGTTTCCTTGCTTTATTTTTTATAAAAATTTCTATAAAAGTTTTTAAGTAGTTGAAAGCATTCTAAAATTAATTTTCTTTTGGGATTAAAAAGAATGATTTAAATTATCTTTTTAGAGCAGAATTTTTCAAATGATCTATGACATGCAGTATAGGGGATAAAAACTTTCGGAAAGATGATTAATTTTATTATAAAAAAATTAATACCCTTTTGATTTAAAGAAATAGTGAAATAAAAATAAAAACTTTTTAAATAATAGTCAAGTTTGATTAAAATTAAGAAACCATTTCTCTTACCAAAAGTATAAATGTAATAATAAAATCATTAATTTGAATAACTAAAATTTTATAATTATAAGCATAAATTTAATTCTTTAATTAATTTTATGGTTAAAATTGTTTTTACGTTTCTTAAAGATCTAATTGTACTGCAAAATTTGTCTTATTTCAGTAGTACGATACAAAACATTGCACAAAATGTTACATAAATTCAAAAGCTAAAAAAAATTTTAATTAGATGGAAAAGGCAAAAAGTTTCGTTTAGAAATGATTCAGTCATTATGAATATACTTTATTTATTTTTTGCTCTTCGATATTTCATATACCGTATATCTTCGCGTAATTTTTTCTGTTAGAGTTTTAGCTGCCGGTTGTAAAAGTTTAAAAATATTCGCATAATCTCTCTCTTCATTTCGCGGAATTTCCCGTAATGCGTTCAGAGATTGAGTTCCCCTAAATTTTAAAAGAAATGCACTAATATAAGGATTGTTTTCGTCTTAGGCCCACCAGCGGCCGAGCGGTAAAGTCGCTGAACACTGGTAGTTCGGTCCGAGGTTCGAATCCCGCAAACGGGCTGGCTGCATGGGCGTTTTCGTGGTTTTCCCCATGTGTAACGTGTATACGAGCCAGTTTCCCTTAGAAAGGCCTCCACGAAGGCATCCCTCCCCTTAGGCAGATAGCGCTTGAGGCTTTGCCGTAATTAAATAACTAACCTAACCTAACCTGCTTTCGTCTTACTAGACAAATCCTCGCAAAATACCTGCTCAGATCACGCCCAGCCTTTTCCTTGTAAATGTTGAACTTTATGTTAGCCTAATACAAGAACTGATCGATCACATACACTGAAATTCAGTTTTATGATTTCGCTGAATCATCTCCATCTTTAATAATTTACGAATGACACCACCTAAGGATTAGCAGAGAGAACAATAAAAAAAAAGACGAGATTGCAGTTAACGGGAAGTAGAAATGAAGACATCTTATTAGTTAATGAAATGTTAATATTACTATGTATTCTTATTAGAACGCAGGCTTCTTTTAAAGAAATAATATTTTGATAGTTACGTTTAATTTATACGTAGCTACTTTTCATTTGCTATGGTCTTATTGTAACCACGTCCTTCGGAAATTAACCTACTCGTATAATTTTCCCCTGTCAATCTCACAAGAAATTGATTGGTGAATCACAAAACGAAGAACAAGAACAAAAAATTGAGAAACATTGCCACATTTGTCGAAAGAAATGCGGCTTTCTATCTATCTTTTGAACTCTGAGGGGAGACAATTTGGAATCCTGTGCCAAAATTGCTGATCCTATCGAACAGCCAACTGCTCAAAATATATGCGATATAAGGCTGAGAGCATGAACATTGATTAACCGAGCTCCACTGTAAATTTGGTTAGCCTCGTCAATGGGACCCACTGGTTAACCATTAGTCCACAACGGGACCCAGACTCACTATATTTTAATAATTACCTCTCTTTCTAAAATATATGTTTATAATTATGAAAAATAACTTTATTCATAAAAATATTAAAACGCTAAAAATGAATGACAAAAATTAATGACGAATTATCGCAGCTTCAGCATCCAGTCAAGATTATGGCTTTTATCACGGACAAGAAGCATAGGTTGTGCCGCCATTATCTTACATTCTGGACAACTTTCGGGGGAAAACACAAATTTCTCCGAGCTTTTATGGAAGAATTATCCAGAAGAAAGATCCGAGGGTCTCCAACCCTACTTTCCCTTCCGCTGTCTTTTTCAGAAGATATCTCAAGTATGCTTCCGTACCTCAAAGTCATTATGCACTTGCAAACATTCATGCCTTTTCAAGGATTCGAGCCTGTGCCCAAGGTTATAACAGTGGGTCCCCCTACCACCATGCAGAGTAGGACGTTTCGATAATATTTTTCAAACTTTAGATGAAATATAAAACATAAAATAATATGTTATCTTTACCCTGCATCTTGCCCACCAGCGGCCGAGCGGTAAAGTCGCTGAACACTGGTAGTTCGGTCCGAGGTTCGAATCCCGCGAACGGGCTGGCTGCATGGGCGTTTTCGTGGTTTTCCCCATGTGTAACGTGTATACGAGCCAGTTTCCCTTAGAATGTCCTCACGAAGGCATCCCTCCCCTTAGGCAGATAGCCCTTGAGGCTTTGCCATAATCACACACACACACACATTACCCTGCATCTTTGTAAGAAAGTAATATAACAACTAAAAAATATTTATGCTGTATTTATGCTTCCAATTATTCAATATTGTATTACTGTTATTGAGTAAACAAAAGAGGAAGAGAAAATGTATGCAGAAAAATTTGTTAAACACAAATAAGTGATTCAAATATTAAAATAAGGTGTAATAACCTAAGTTTTGGTGCATGGTAAATAAAAATGTGAATAAGAAGTTTCTCTACTCCTGTACATCGAAAGAGGTGGATCAAACTAGTCCTGCTTTGGTGGAATCCTCTCGTCTAACTAACGCAGTAGAACAATGTCAGAAGATGCAGTTCCCCCCCCCCCCCACGAAATTTTGTGCATCTACCTGGATTTATCCAATGGAATTTCATATGAATAAATCTAGAACATATTTTCTCCCTCCTTTCTGCATGCCTTCGTAGTGTAACAGTAGCACACTCGGCGCATATTCGATACGTCCAGGTTCGAGTCCCGGCGAGGTCATTGCTCATTTTTCATATACATATGCTTCGAAATAACCTAACGACTCTACAGTGGTGATCATCGAACTACAAAAAGGTGGTGGATGATGATTCTTCACTACCAGGATTTGGCGACTGGGCCCCCAATCCCCAGTCGCTCTTTAAAAGGGAATATTCTTCCTGCTTTCTTGGTGTAACGGTAGCAGATTCGGCGCTTATTCGAGAGGTCCCAAAGAGGGTATTGATCATTTTTCATGTACTCCTGCTTCAAAATAACCTAATGACTCTACAAAGCGAGATTGAAAATTTAATGATCTGCCAGTACATTTTTTTCAAGTTTCTGGCAGTTTTCAAGTTCCGCCTTGTGTTTCAAGTTTTTCATCAAGACCAGATAGTAATATGGCGCAGAGACTCCAGTACCTTTATGTCACTTTGTCAGCCGCTGGAAAAAATACAAGGGTGCTCTGATATAAGGGCAGAAATATGCCAGCACACTTATGAAGTTCGGCATCATGAAGAAAGCGATCCTCATAAAAACTGTCATGGCAGCCATGAGAATCCGAACCTTTGCCTACTTGAATAAAATGTGCTTGCATCTTCATAACATTTTACAAAATCACATCCAGGTAGAAGGCCATGAAAGTCAATGCTTTTTGAAATGGAGTAAAGAATTTTAACTTACGACGACGATGCTGAGTCACTGAGTTTAATGCGGTTTAACTTTTTTACAATGTAATATCTATAGGTTTATCACTTTCTGCTGCATAAATTCTATAGTTATGATTAATAGTTAATGTTTCTAAATGTCGATTCAGATAACAAAGTAGCATCTTAGACACTGGCATTTCGGGTATTTTTCGAATTCCCGATATTTTATTAGCTTGAGCGTGCGGAGTTTATAGTAAAGAACTGCAGCAACCATAAAATTTAACTGCATAAATCAGCATACGTTGAAAGCGAGGTTTGCTTTGAGGTTTGCTGAGCGTCAAAGGGAAGAATAACTGCTTATGTGCAACGAATAATACCCGCTTAGATGATAAGAAAACTTTTA